TTAGGCTCCCTGGCTGGGGACCTCGGGATGATCGTAACCGATGGTTCGAGACACTGAGCGATATGGTTGGGTGTAGTAAACAGTAGCGTTCTGGCATTTCCTCAATTTCTTTGCAACCTTAGACCAATGAACTTTTCCATTTTCTGTTCGGCTCCACTTCAACTTTCCTTTCTTCTCCTACTCTTCAACCAAATGGACAACCAAAAGACACCAACCAAAACGGGCGCTCGAATACGCGTGGTTAATGGTTGTTCAAACTGAACTGAAAATATTTGATATTGGCTAACATCGGTTGAACTTGATTAGCCTGATTTAAGCCGGGATCCCACTCAGACAGTTCAAAAATCAACGAAGCGGTATTCCAAATACAGTAAGACGTTTTCAACAGAGAGAAATTAATGGGTCAGGTGTTTAATCCTCAGGCCTGTTGAGCGTTTCAGAGCTTATTCAATGGTCACGTGTACCATATGGGTGCACATTTTGGGCGTTGGGGTTGGTGATATGCACGAAACAGGGCAGAAATAATTATCAGGGACCGGCAAGTCATATGATCACGGGGTGTATAAATGTAAATCTGGACAATCCACAGGGTGAAACTTAGGTCGAAAAAATAACGACTACGATAACCGGTGAATTTATTCGGCAGTGAATTGCCCCGCAACAATCCCCCAAATCAATAATTGATCAGCCGGGGGTAGAGTGAACAAATCAGGGTTATGATGATGGCTTGTGTAGGGAGAAGGTTGCCACCATTCAGATTTCTTACGAATCAACATTGGCGGTATTCGGCTACCAAGTGTGCTTATCTGTGTACGCACATGTACTTCCTGATAATTAAATTGCGAAATATATGTTCAATTCAAATTGTTTGTAGCATTTAGCATTATTCTCATGTTTACTCTTTAGAGCTGAAAATGTCTTCTCTTAGGATTTAATTTCATATTCTTTCATTTCTATTTGACATGGAATTGGATAGAAAAAATTCACTGCCGGGTTGATTCAAGACTGTTTTTACATGTGCAATACCTATGAAACAATCTGACAACCGAATGAAAATGAATCAGGTATGTTTCAGTCACTCAGCATTGCTGTTATTGTTGAGAAACTACATGTTCGGTTACTGAAACATACATGTGAGCTTAACAACAGATTTGAATATGGGTGTGGTTTGTAGCTCAGGCTGATGGTTTGTGGGGTCTTGTGTTCGCTGAGCTTGGCGTTTAGATCTCAAACGTTTCATCACCAGCCGAGGTGACATCGTCAGTGCGTTGGTTGGTCACCAACCAAGCTCAGCGAACACAAGACCCCACAAACATGTGAGCTTGCCTACTCATTACTGATTCACTGAAAAAGGACGCATTGTTCAAAATGTTGAATGCCCGGAAATCAAGACCGATACAGTTATTCAAATCTAACTGACGCTGATTGGGGTGTCCTCGAAACCGGATAAACGGAAACCAGTTCCATCTGTTCTTTCTGTTTTGTGATGTACAAAAGTTATGATTTTTTACACGTTCGGTTGAACACAGAACATGTGATCGCCGACATTCATCAACCGTTATGGAACATGCGATGCGCAGAATGGTGCACAATCGAGATAAGAGGTTATCCAAACGGTTCGGGTGAGTTCACGAGAGACCCGAAGATGAAATTGATAAAACCCAGTTTGGATTACCACTCAGATGACAGTATTGTTAGGGGCCTATAACCGAATGCAGTAAGTAGAAACTTACGAGGCCGCGGGTTGAGCAGAAAAGGGGTTGATGATTTAATAAATGGCAACGGGAATACATCAGTCGATTAACGATGGTGTATGGTGAGTGGTGATTATCCAAAGTTGGGTGTACATCGATCAATATTGACCTGGGAAAACTGTATGATGTGACAGAACAACCAATACGGACACAGATAAAAGAATCCATACACGGCAGATCCTGGAAATGAAGAGGCAGGAAACCGACTAAATCGAAGTAAGATGATTAAATTCAGTGGCATCTGAATAAAAAAGCTGTTGAAAATAGAGAAAAGTGAGCTAAACCTCTACAGTGGTCATCAGTGTCCAGGATGCGCACGCATTCAGAGAGGTGAATTTCTACCCATCTATCCCTCGCACTAATGTGATCGGTGGCTCTTTGTATTGTACCATGTTGACGCACTGATCGGTGGGCTGTTATCGATGGACATTACGCAAACATGTGCTGTTAGTGAAATGTTCATCGAAATTAGCCGCTACATTTCTATCATACAATGTGAATCGAATACAGATTCTCAACAGTTCACTATCCGACACGTGACAAGTCGATGAAACTCCAGCACGGTCAAAATGATCAACCGAGATAATGGGCTATCAGGAACCGAGTCAAGCACTTAACGCGTTTACAGACACGACTGTAATCATACAAAAAAGAATCTGCGGCGTTGGAAGCTGTGACAATTGCTATTCGTGAAATGCAACCTGTCAGAATACAAAAGCGCAGTTTATTGCCTGATTGAAAATTGTACATATATTTTTGAAAAAAAAACAAAAAAAAACAAATACAACAAACTCCGAATTGCAAAAGATTGCCTTGGACGTGGAAAAGCGGATCTATGACAGCGTAACTCGCGCCGACGGAAACCCTCGGGAACTCTATCCCTGCTGGTGTTTTATCCTCGTTGGAAATCAACCTTCCTTGATGAAACTGTTCTCTACAATCGATTGACATAAATTCCAAAAACAGACGATCAATACACCCAAAGTGGATGGATTGAAAACTCGTATACGTCTGTTATGTGCATAAGTGTCTCACGCATCGGGTTTAGCGCACTTTGTGCAACCGTTGCCTTCTCAAAATCCTAAGGTGTACTATGGTTTCCCTGAATCACGTAATCTCCTACACTGACCGGGGGGATGTGGCGTTGTCCACTCAACTTTGATTCAGATCGTTTTGATTGTTAAACACTTTCGTACAAATCGTCATTACACCAACACCCAATCGACAACACGATCTGATCTGCGATATGGACCGTGAGAGAGGGGCCGGGAAAGATCCGTGATTTAATGATTAGGGAAGATTAATCCCAGTCATTTATGATCATCAACAGAAGCACCGGAACAGCAGCTGTTTCGTCCTGTTTGGGACCTGTCAGCAGTGCACGTACTTTATTGTCCCCGGGTCAGGACTCGAACCGCGAACGTTGGCATGTAAATGCATGAAATTGTGAGGAATTAACGATCTCCCAAGGAGTGAAACCCACACCCAAGAACATCAAGAGTGCCTGGTGCCTCTTAACAAACGAATGAGCCAATCCAAGCTTGCTACTCTAAAGTCCCAGTCATTGTTTTGATAAAATGTAACCGATGTCTGAATGAGATTGTGACCACGTTGTATAAATAATACCGACTACGTAGTCCAAATATGGCCAACCCTGATTCAGAGGTCTATCGTTTGAACATATGCCTCATCTTGTTCGTATACAGCCTACGTGCCGTGTATATTCACCAATAAACTATGACTCATTTGTGGTGCATTAATAGAGAATGATTTAACGCCAAGACGATTACACCTGGCGGCAGATATTAGAGCGTTGTAATGTACCGAGCCGAAGAGGAGGATTTGCGTGTGAACCGAAGCACGAATCACATTAGTTAGTATGGTGAAACACTCGAATCCCGAGGGAGCTGCCCAAGTTCAGATGTGTGCCTATCGCACGCGGGTGTCCAGTTACCAGGAACAGGGAATATGGTGATTCACTCTGACGACTGGTCATTGTTTCATGATTCCACTTACCGATTTTCGATCGGGAACCGATACTACACGTTTACGATAAATGTGAAACCGGGACTGCGTTTACCGGGCGAATGAAAAGCGAGTCGGGATAGTGTATCACAGATACGGATAGTGCGGCTGTCTGGTCTGATTTAAAGCCAAATTCAAAACGATGATAGGTAAAACTCAAGTAGAAACTTAGCACAGTGCTATCAATTTACGCACACCTAGCGAAGAAATCAGACAGAGCTGATGAATTTCGCATTGGTCATGAAATGCGTAACCGTATACGCATACGGGGGAAAGCTACCCAACAAGAGTAACCAAGTAAGCCCGTGAATTTCAAAGCTTGGAAAAAATCCCAGCTCGTTTACAAATTCAATTTGATGAGTCAATCCAATAGAAGCATTTGCACAGGACCAGGCATGGTCCAATCTCGATACGGTCTACTACGCGACGGCAATCGAACAGTATAGTTCAGACAATGATGTGCATCTGTTACAGATTAATTGATTCTGAATGAAACAGGGAAAACATGTTCTCAGTCGGTTTGGAAAATCTGAACTTATGCGACTTTTACCAGCTCAAACAATGTGTTGGATATAATATCTGACCAAATACTTTTATCAATAAACGAGCCAAAACATCAAGTTAGTGACAGAATGCTCCCTGTTTGGTCTGCTTCAATTCTAAATTCAAACCAAACCTCTGAATAAAAAAGAACTGAAAAGACGACGCATCAACAAGCCGGGTACAGACAACAGAAACCAACCAGGTCGAAACAACAATTGTCCAGTGGTCCTTCCTAACTTTTCAGCTCAAGCCTCATTTACACGACGAATTCAACATCTAATCAAATCACATCCTACATTCTGTCAGCGCACGCCTTGAAAACTGCCATCGAATCGGAACTTGCGGCCAAACAAGACGACTGATAACAAACCATTGTGTGGATACATTTTCATGCCTTTGTGCTCTTTCTCCTATAAAGCCTGCTTTACGTAACATGAATGAATTCTTACACGTTCCAGGCTGTTCCAGGTTATTACCTCTCAAATCGCAATCTGGATGAGAAAACACTGTCGGAAACCGACCACTTGGTAATCCGGTATTGCAACCAAACCGTGAGGTTTTCAAATGTTCATCTATATTTGATTGAATACACGATTACGATAGCTTGGGAGTGGGATAAATTGTAACACGATTCGTCGGCACTATGTTTTGAATCAGAGTGAAGAAAGCAGCAGGCGTTTGAAAGGTCAGGTTCCCATGGCCTGAGGTCGAAGCAAATGGCAAGATTATTCATCCACCATGTACAGATAAATTTCGAGCGAGTTGTTAGCTGATCATCTACTGGGTCATGCAGTTGAACCCGCCTCTGTCTGATTTACTCAAATAACCACCAACGCTACTGAACTTTTCACAATCGACATAAATAAACTTCAAATCTGCCAAACAACAATTTGAACAATTAACCTTGTCTTAGACGCTCATTCGGAGGACTCCGGTGAATTCTAAGGAAAAGCTGTCAGGGCAGTCTGCTCACATGCTAACTGGTGGATGCCATATGCCTCCGTAAGTTGTACGGGTAAGTTCGAATGTGAAAAGATCAGTGCTGTCGGTGTGGCCTCGTTGCTGAGCTGGTAGAGCATGCGCTGTACAAAAAGCTTAGGCGACATAAATGCGTGAGTTCGAATCCTACTTAGGCTACTTAACTTGTCACAATCAACATATAATTATTGATTCGTCGAGCTGTCTGATCTCAATGATGATTGCACGTTTGACGTGAACCAATGACGGAATAAAAAAAACAATATTTTTGCCAACTAAACAACTAACGTCATGCAACGCAACCCTATTTTCGATGCTATGTATATAAATGTAATAATAATAATGTAGTAATAACAATGTAATAAATGTAATGTAATCGATTAAGAGAATGTGATATCAGTTTTTCGTTTTCTTTGAGATGTTCCAAACACGTACATCTTGCTAGCTCACTTGCAGTAATAGTTGGTTGCCAAAATATTTAAGACTTTGAAAAGGAAACCCATGCAGCCCGTACTGTCTATCATAGTTCGCACCCTCTTTACTCCTTTACCTGCCAATTTCCCGCAATATGCTTCACTCTGAGAAACGATCTGCACGAGGAGCCTCTGGTGATGAAGAAAGTGTCGAAAATGCGCGTGCACACAGGGAATTGAATGAGTCAGCTATGATGGGAAAATGAACTAAATGGGTGAGACAATCGCACCATGAAATAGCCTACCAAAGCATTTGACTTCAGTACGAAATCACCTAGTTGTTTGTCTTGTGTCGGCTTGTAAATCCATAAAATCAGACGTGAGGGACTTGACTACGCAACCGAATTTACACATAGGAAGCAAATAAACTGTACCGCAATTTAGCATAGCACATGACAAACAGTCCCGTCCACAGAAAACCGAGAAGTCGATGGGATAATCGAGCGGGAACATGGATTGAGACAACGGCTTTTTCATTTCACGTGCTTCGATTAGCGTGACCTTGAACAAACAATCGTCATTTTCCTCGGGAAAATCAATTGCTGAAATATCCGAAAACTAGGTCACCTTGTATGTTGGTCCGATGACAGCTTAGGCAATCTAGGACGTTTCAAATATTCGATCACATTTCCGAATTCGGGTAACAAAGCTCACTGTACACTGAAAGAGCAAGGATAATTCATCAGAAAATTTAAATGAATAATCATTTTAATAGGGCAGCAGAAGATTTTAACCGAAAGATAAAATTTTACAGGTATCGAACATATTGATTTCCGATTTCATCCACTTTGCTAACACCAAATTTGAACTTTCGACTGAGAAGTTGGCTGTGATGTTTTAAAAGAAAAATCAGGACCATAGTTGCTCGATAAAACAGGAAAAAATTGCGAGCGGATATTTGTTGAAACTAAGCGATGACTCGTAAGACAATGTGCATTTCCTTCGAATAGCAGATGCCGACAAAATATCACTCCCTTCTTGAGGGGGGTGGATAGACGAAGAGGCCCTGAGTTCTTTCCCTCCGTCTTGGAGATTGATCACACCGAACCGCTGTACGCTTCAGTGCGCGTCCCCATATCGCACGTAAGACAACGACCGTAAACTCGCGGTTAATCGTGAATAAGGTGGGCTTAGGCCCCTCGAATAAGCGGTCGCTGACGATCAGCGGCAGCGCTCGAGGATGTTGTGGGTTTACCTCCTGGCACAAAACATCACACATATCTGTGGACTGTGCTGTGACGTGGCAAGTGTGGCTAGACACGAAATTTGGCAATCGCCCCTAGTCGAAATCTGTTGTGCGGCAAGGTTTTCCAGAAGAGGCGAATGAAACAAATACTAGCCACCGGCTCATCTGGAACATCGCTGCTGCCTTGGAGTCTGCGCTTAGTTGTGCAAAGGCTAGAGTGAACTCTCGAACAAGGCCTAATCTGGACCAGGAGACCAAATAGTACAACAGCCCACAACGTATGATAAGATGATGATGATGTTCTGGGAGTTTACGTCTCTCCGTTTCTAAATTTTCTTCACTCAAAGAACACTCTAAGCTGTATACACTCCTGTTTACCTAGTCTTCCCCCATTGCACTTTCGTCCCTTAAAATATTCCTGCACTTATCTCCCGTACTTTAGACGATCCTACTAACGGTAGCGCCTCAAGTGGAAACTATCGCTGTTCTCTCCTATCCTGCGTCTGCTGAAGCCCTTGTTCGTCCTCAATGGCCATTCAAACTAGTCATACCTGAATGTGCGTACTCTGATGCGCATAGGACAACAGGTGTGTTTAGCTCGCACGCTGGAGACCCTAGCCATCTGGGTGTTGTATCTAAGAAACTCGCATTCAAGTTTCCAGTTCCGTTATCTGATTGAGGCCCCCATCAAATTGGCTGATATCATGATTTTTGGGGATATGAATGCCAGAGTAGGCCGGTTGCCCTCGAGTTAGACGTATCTGGAATGTCCGTTCAGACTAGATTACCATCGCGGGGAAAACGGTTGTTAGCTCTAAGTTTCGACCACCACCTACTCCTCACCATTAAGAACTTCAGACGTAACAACTGCCAGTACGCCACTTGGCATCTGCCCTTCTGCAGCTAGCGATGAACGCAAATCAATCATATAGCTATAAACTGCAAAAGGAGGCTTATTTCATTGTGGTCTGGCACGTCGTGTAGCGACACCCTGGAGTTCTGCGGACCCTCTACACGTTCTCGACTCGCACCGATCAATGCTGACCGGCAGTGAGAATACTAAGATAAGACGAGACGTTAAATGAATGCAAGCTCTCGCAGACTGTGAAATCTAGTCCCCTCCACGTGTATCAGAGATGGAACGAACTGCCGAACTGGAGAAATCCCCACGAGCGGCTCCATCTAATCCGGATCACCTGTAGGAAAGCCTTGGGTGTAAGTGAAACCATCTGTGAAGTTCAAGGATGACTCATTCTTAATTAACAGCGACGTCTTGCACGCTGGGTGGAGCATTTCAAAGCTCAGTTCAGCTGCTTACCAGCGCCAGTTTCTCAGACAGCTGTCCCGGCACACGTCCCGTGGCCTGTTCCAACAGATTCACCTTCTGAGGGAGGAAGTCTGGAAGGAGGTCCCAACCTTGGAACGTCACAAAACAGCGGACCCCAATAGTACTCCCCGAGCTCTATTTAAAGATGATGGAATGAAGCCCGTTAGAGAATTGATGGTATTGTTCTCCATAGTTGGGCATACTGTATGGTCCCATCCTAGACGGGAGAATCGATTGTAATCCCCATCATTAAAAAGGGCCCGAGCAGTGCCTGCGCTATTCATTGCAGTATAAGCCTGGTCCCAGTAGTGTCAAAGCTGATGGCGTACGTCCTTCTGTGCCGACTGAACAATATGCTTGAAAAGAAGCCTTGAGAAGAGAAGACTGAGTTTCGCACGGGTAGTTAATGCATCGATATCTTTCAGCTCCAAGAGTTGCAAGAGCACCGTCATGCTTACCCCAGACCAACGATCATAATGTTGGTAGACATTCGCGCGGCCTTCGACTCAGCCGATGTACTGCAGCATAGGATTGTTTGTCCCGGTAAGGAGTACATGAGAAGTATGTGCCGATACTGAAAGAGTTTTACCACCATACCTGAGGTTGGGCTAGGGCCTAAGGTCGGCTTTCCCCACCCTTTACCGTCTCCAGTGGAGTTCGACAAGGGTGCCATATATCCCCACTCCTCTTCAACTTTACCCCGGAGGATATCCTACAGAATGCTTTATCGGGTTTAGCAAACGAATGAGTCAAACTCCACCCAAGAAATACAGTACTAGACTTAGAATAAGTTGATGATATTTCCTTGTTGGTTGACAATGCACAGGTAGTCCAACACGCTTTGATTTGTTTGGGGATAGAGGTCCAGGGATGGTATGTGCTTTGCGCCGTCGAAATGCAAAGTGCTTGTTCAAGACTGGTATGAGGCTGTCTGCACTCAACCTTTGTGGCGATCAACTGAAAGTGGTTGTGAGCTGAGTAGCTTGATCGCAGCTGGTAGTGTTGGGATGGAGATCCAGAACGAATAGTGAACGCTAGAGCAGCTTTTGACAATCTGCGACATCTGTTTGTCCTTTCACGGAATGATGTTAATCGCCGCGGTTCGAAATGTTCTACTTTACGACTGCGAGAACTGGAATAATTGAGCGGAAGATGCTCATGGACTACCAAAGTCTCCGAGGCATTGCTCGTGTCTGGTGGGAACCTTCGGTGAGCAATGAAGAAATCCGCTGTCGTGGGTCGACTACGGGTAGTTCTTCTCTAAACGAAGTAATCGCTCCGATGGCTTGGTCACGGTTTGCGCATGCCTACCTATCGTATACCTCTCCGTGCTCTCTAAGCACGTGCTGGAAGAAGTGCCGGGGCGGCCCGACCAGGACCTGGCGTAGAAGTAGAAGTTAGCCTCAGCTCTGGTTTCGGTTGGTGCAGCTCGCCTTTCAAGTTGGAGCCCAAGAGATGAGGATTCAAGTCAAGTCAAGTCAGTAGTAGCTCTTTGCACCCGGATGGGTGTATTTTCAGCAATTACACCATATCTGTGGATTCAAATTTACAAAATCGTACATAGTGAACACAATAAAAGCAGTAGATATCGTGTTTCTCAATAAAGCAAGCAATTGCGCAATTCTGTGGAAATTGTCCTTGTCTATAAGTAGACGTGCTAGATATGGCAGAATAGAATTGCGATAAGCACAGGTACGTGCAAATAAAAGTTTAAATCTGGAGCGTGTGGATGATGTAGATACAGCTTTTGAAAATTCAATGTGTGATGGGTGGCGAGTGTCTGAGATTATTTGGGCAACGAAATTTTCACATGCTTGTAGGTGTCTGTCAATGATAGAATCGGTCATTTTATCCCTGACAATGCCACTACATTTAGAGATGTGTATCAGAGATCTCGCCAATAAATGAGTCTTTCTTCAACATATCGGGAAAAATTACTGGAGAGCAATACAACCAGTGGGGTAGCACGCATGTATTTACAAATCTAACAATCAGCTTGTGGGGAACAGAAAGTAATCTCAATCGGAGTGAGAAATATGAAAGCTTTCTAACTTTACAGAGTGTTTTGAACGTGCAGTGGACATGATAAATTGTGTGATAGAGTGACGCCAAGGTATTTTACTATTTTTGATTTCGGTAGGGGTTTTTGATGTTGTGTAGGGACTGTTGCTGAGACTGCTATCGCACCACCAACTTCTGAGCCGAAAAGAGAACACAATCAAAATGACACAGGAAAGTATATTAGAAAAAAAGTGTCTTCTTTTTGCTTGTCGATTTAGCGTTGACATCCGTTCTTTTTACTGCGTTCGGTGCGTTCCAAACGTTCGGCATAAATTGACCAATCAGAGTCGTCGGACCACCCGGCTGACGATGCTGTCTGACCAATCAGGAAAGTCGGGTCGTCCGGCTAAATACAGCGATCGATCATTCGCAGGCGGGAGACCCGCCCGGCTATGCCTTTTTCTTCTTGGCTATTATCGCCAAACCGGATTGTTTTGGAATTGAACCTTCCTGACAGTTGATTTGCAGAGAGGGTGGGGAACTTATCTATAAAGGCTGAATATGGTACATCGGTCAAGACGGAAAACACAGCATCCTGACATTTAAGGGCATTCAATGAGAGGGAACGGGACAGGGACCAAGTGATAACGTCATTCAGCTTGGTTGAATTTCGGAAGCCTCTTCTGGGGTGGATGCTTTGCAACCTATAACAACGTCATCAGCCTATTTACAGCCAATGAATGCAGGAGGAATGGGAAATTGTTTGACATACATAGAAAAGAAATATGGGGACAGGACACCAGAAGAAACAGGGCGAGTGGAGGACTTTTTTCCGTTGAAACATGTAAACTACTTTCTGTCTGTGAAATGATCACAGATCAGTCTGCTAACGTTTGAATTTACACCACTTTCAGTAATCAGGTTGAGCAATACCGATCGATCAAGTCTGCCGAAAGCGTTTCTGTAGTCTAAGAACATCATTCTGATGGTATTAATTTTCTTATCTAGTGCCGAGATTATTGACTGAACGAGATATGCAACGGCGTCCAGTGCTGACCGCGATGAGCGATATGCAAATTGATATATGTCGTCTTCGTCAGACTCAGTGGCAACCCACGGTAATAAGCATCTCTCAAATAATCTGAGCAAGACTGACGTGCAGGCGATGGGACGATATTTCCCAGGTTACTTTTTTGGAACGGGAGTTACCTTGGCCAGTCTCCAAATATGAGGAATTTTTCCACTTGTGAGACAGTCGTTGAATATTTTTGACAATGGGGCTTTGAGTATTACTGGCGATAGTTCCTCAGGGCCCGATGCTTTATTCAACTTGGTTTTTAGTAGCTGTTTCAGGACTGTGGCGGGTTCGATAGTTGGTGTTGGCATAGAGCTGACCAAGTCTGGCAGGGCAGTGCACCGTGAAACTGGACTAAACTCAGAATTTCAACATCGACAGTTTCCTTTTTATGTTTACGGCTACTGCCACACAATCGGTTGATAGACCTCCACGACAACCTGAGTTTCCCAGGATAGTTTCGATGTAGTTTGTTCAACCGATTTATTTCAGCTTTGATCGAAATTGTTAGCCGCTTGACATGGATTTTTTGTCCTTGTCTGTAGGCTAGTTCTTTCCACCGGCTAAACTGCTTGAGTAGCGGTGATGAGTATCTGTCTTTATGGATAAAGACCGTTTCTAGTGGACAACACTGGTTAAAACAGAAAGTAAGGTAATCCGTAACATGTTCACAGAGGACAGAATGGTTTTGATCGGGAAACATCGAAAAATCAGTGGTGACAATCATGGATCTTAGCCTTTCTGGTCCTCTGATGAACAATTTCTTACACTCACTATCTTGTAAGGCCTCCCTAAAAATGTGTATCGGTTGGTTTTGCTGTATACAGTGGGACATACTTTCAAGATACAATGGTCTGAACTGCTCAGGGGAGCGCGTTTCTGGGCTTAAAAAAATTGTGGTCTATTTGTGAAAACGAAATCAAGCTGTGAATTCTGCCTGGTAGGAAAAAGTACTAAATTTTGTAGACCCGGTGTGGTAAGGAATGTTACATCACGTATGTTGAAATCACCAACAAATATACACAAAGAGTCACTTGTTTTTGATATTNTACTTTCAAGATACAATGGTCTGAACTGCTCAGGGGAGCGCGTTTCTGGACTTGAAAAAATTGTGGAAACGAAATCGAGCTGTGAATTCAGTCTGGTAGGAAAAAGTACCATTATCGTTGATTAGAGACACTGAGAGATATGGCCCATAGTAGAAGTCGGTGGCGCGAATGGTGTACGGTCTGCCGGTTGAAATAAAGTGTCCCCAAAAAACAATGACTAAAAAGATCAAGTGCTCGGTCAAACAAACAAAATAATTGTTATTCACTCGAACGCTTTGACCTTGCATTTTTCCCGACCCGCTATTTTCTGTCGTTGTTGTATTAACACCAAGCTTGCTCGATGATATGTAAAAATATGCATATCCAGATAATGAAGAAACTAAAACGTATGATACGCACATCTCCAGATGAAACTACCCAGTGAAAAATATTCAACAGGGCAAGCAGTGATTGGAAAAACGATTTTTTTCACTGTATTAAAGAACCGCATGCACCCGAGTGGTAAGCTGCTACTCGTCTAGTATGGGGAGTTGATAGACCAGTGAAATTCGGTGACAACCTAGCTCTTCCAACAAGCTTTGGCATCTTCTCGATCTAATTGAATTCTGGGAACGATTTAGGTATATTACACAAATCGAGTTCGAGAATATAAACAATCACCCACTGGTTGAAAACTGTGCAATGAATGAGAAGCAAAAATATGTATATTGTGTACATGACTGTGACCACCAGGTCGAATTGCAACAACAGCAAATCAAAATCACATTAATAGGCGAGATTTTTTACATGGAATAAACTGGTTCGCAATAACCAATTGGTGAAATTAACAACCGATACGAGAACTGATGGACGGACGACGGGATGTGATGCAGATGGGCAGAGGCAGTAGAACAGTAACGTCTGAATGCCTCAAAATTCACCGGAATCCGGTTGTGATCGCACACGGATCATACATATAGGAATAATCATTGTGACGAGTGACAGACATCTCGCAGGGCAAATAGCGGAAAATAAAAAAAGAAGAATCAGATTTGGATCGAACAGCTACCAAGTGACACGGTCGGTGCTTGGAAGCTGCAAACAGGCCAACAAACGAACCCACCAATTGGGACTAAAATCTACTATCACACTGCCCGGTCGATGTGGGCACAATGACCCATAGTGACGGGAGAGCCAATTAGAGGGATCACTTTGCAGGAAAAAGAAGCACAGAACAGCAAGACATAAAAAGATAAAAGATAACGGACTGGATAGATAGTTCCATACTGCTCTCTGCGTTGTGTTCGGGACCGATTTGCAAGATTTAGAAGAATGAGCTAGTTGTAGTGAAGTTGAAGCGTCTGGAATAGTCGGACTGTCTAACTTTGTCCTACTCGTAGGGGGTTCACAAAATGGAGACAGATCAACACAAGCAGATTTGGGAATCGAATTGGAACCGGTAGAGGTGACGATGGCTTGTTGTAGTCGTCGAATAGCCACGCGCAACCGTCGCTGAAGACGTTCTGCACGTTCAGTGACGACGTGCAAATCGGCCGACTCCGAACTCGGTTCCGTGTCGGAATCCGAATCCAGGAAACTGGAAAAAGAGGATGTGAATGATGCAGCACCGGAAATGTGCTGGCCATCCCCGAGACCGGACGTGCTATCGGCCGTTTGGCGCAGTGCACAGGGGACTGGTTGGAACATGTCGTTTGAACTCCAACAATCGTTTACTAGATGACAAGATCCCAAACGAACTTGAAATGCGAGGACACTGTCACTTAAATTCTACGAAGCAAGAAAAACAAGGGATGATTAACCTCAAAAATATATAAAAAATATTAAAAAAGTATCGTTCAAGTTGTAACTCAGAATAGCAGGTATTGCTAGTTTTCATTTCGGAAAATATGACAACCGCTTACCTAAGCGGTGATGGAGATAATAAGACTAAACAAACTAAATCGATGGAGTTACTGTCGAAAGCGACACACTCATAATCAATTGAACACCAATTATCTAACATATTTGTACCAGATCGGATTGAGGGTTCGCTCTGATGAGCTTTGCACGTCTCAATCCAAAGACTCATACTACCCTGACCCATGAGGTCAGTTCACTAGTGGTCTGTTTTAGTTAGGTGCTACTGAGGGCAAAACTGACGAGCGAAAAAAGCTGTCGCAAACACCAACTCGCTTATTATCCAGTGGTAACACTCCCGTGCGTGCTAAATATCAGATGAGAAACCCAACTGCTCACACGCTTAGCAAATTAAACTTTTCGATGTTGTATGAAAGCCACCTATTAACTGAAACCAGAATGGATAGAATCACAATACGCTCAAATGGGTAACGAGACCCCAATAAGTCTGTGCATAAAAATACAGGTTTCCATTCAGTCGTGCCACCGGATTCGAGTGTAAGCGAGGATTCGTTCTACTCTGATTTCTTTCATTCACCATTGTTTTCACCTCCGCAAA